ATGATGCGAAGCCTCCGGGATATGTCTTTGGGGAAATGGAGGGGGGGGGGGTGGAGTGCCATAAGCGACGGCGATGACTTGATTGATGACCCAGCGGCGCTTTGGGGGACAAGGAGAGTCTGTGGTGTGCCACTGCTTCTCTCTGCACTGGCTCTCGTCTTGGCACTACTCTCTCTTGGCAACTGGCTCTCTCTTGGCACTGGCTCTGCCTCTTGGCATCTGGCTCTCCTGGTGGCACTGGCTCTCCTGGTGGCACTGGATCTCCTCTTGGCACTGGCTCTCCTGGTGGCACTGGCTCTCCTCTTGGCACTGCCTCCTGGTGGTACTGGCTCTCCTCTGGCACTGGCTTTCTTGGCCTGGCTCTCGGTGCACTGTCTGCTGGCTCACTGGCTCTCCTGTGGCACTGGCTCTCCTGGGTGGCACTGGACTCCTCTTGGCACTGGCTTCTTGTGGCTGGCTCTCTCTTGGCACTGGCTCTCTCTGGTGGCACTGCTTCTCCTGGTGCAGTGGCTCTCTCTTGGCACTGCTCTCCTCTTGGCACTGGCTCTCCTGGTGGCAATGGCTCTCTCTGGGCCCTGGCTCTCTTTGGCATGGCTCTCCTTTGGCATGGCTCTCTCTTGGCCTGGCTGCTGGTGGCTCCCTGGCTTGGCACTGGCTGGCACTGGCTCTGGCACTGGGTCACTGGCTCTCCTCTTGGCATCTGGCTCTCCTCTTGGCACTGCTGCTCTTGCACTGGATCTCCTCTTTGGCACTGGCTCTCCTGGTGGCACTGGCTCTCCTCTTGGCACTGGCTCTCCTCTTGGCACTGGCTCTCCTGGTCTCCTCTTGGCACTGGCTCTCCTGGTGGCACTGGCTCTCCTGGTGGCACTCCTTTGGCACTGGCTCTCTCTTGGCAGCTGGCTCTACCTGGTGGCACTGGGCTCTCCTGGTGGCACTGTTCCTGATGCACTGGATCTCTCCTGGCTGTCCTGGTGCACTGGCTCTCTTGGCCACTGGCTCTCCTGGTGGCACTGGCTCTCTGCAGCTCTCCTGGTGGCACTGGCTCTCCTTTGCACGCTTTCTCTGGTGGGCCTGGTGCACTGGCTCTCTTGGCCCTGGCTCTCCTGGGTGCACTGGCTCTCTGGTGCACTCTCTCCTCTTGGCCCTGGCCTGCTCTCTGGCCCCTGGCTCTCCTTTGCCCTGGCTCTCCTGGTGCACTGGCTCTCCTCTTGGTGGTGCACTGGGCTCTCCTGGTGCACTGGCTCTCCTGGCACTGGCTCTCCCTGGCACTGCTCTCCTTGGGCTGGGCTCTCCTCTTGCACTGGTCTCCTCTGGCACTGGTCTCCTCTGTGGCACTGGCTCTCCTCTGCACTGGCACTGGCTTCTCTCTTGGCACTGGCACACTGGCTCCTCTTGGCACTGACTGGCTCTCCTGGGTGCACTGGCTCTCCTGGTGGCACTGGCTCTCCTGACTGGCTCCTCTTGGCCTGGCTCTCCTGGTGGCACTGGCTCTCCTGGTGGCACTGCTCTCTGCACTGGCTCTCCTCTTGGCATGGCTCTCTGGTGGCACTGGCTCTCCTGGTGGCACTGGCTCTCCTGGTGCACTGGCTTCTGGGCTGGCTCTCCTGGTGGCACTGGCCTCTCCTCTTGGGCATGGCTCTCCTTTGGCACTGGCTCTCCCTGGGCTCTCCTCTTGGCACTGGTCTCCTGGTGGCAACTGGCTTCTCTTGGCATGGCGGCCTCTCCTGGGGCACTGCTCTCTCTCTTGGTGGCACTGGCTCTCCTTTGGCACTGGCTCTCCTTGGCACTGGCTTCTCCTGGTGGCACTGGGGGCTGGCTCTCCTGGTGGCACTGGCTCTCCTCTTGGCCTGGCTCTCCTCTTGGCACTGGCTCTCCCTGGGCTCTCCTGGTGCACTGGCTCTCCTCTTGGCACTGGCTCTCCTGGTGGCCTCTCTTGGCACTGGGTGGGCTCTCCTTGGCACTGGCTCTCCTCTGGCACTGGCTCTCTGGCTGGCCTTCTGGCACTGCTCTCCTGGTGGCACTGGCTCTCTCTTGGCACTGGCTCTCCTGGTGGCACTTCTCTCTTGGCACTGGCTCTCCTGGTGGCACTGGCTGCACTGGCTCTCCTCTTGGCACTGGCTCTCCTGGTGGCACTGGCTCCTGTGGCACTCTGGGGCACTGGCTCTCCTACTGCTCTCTGGTGGCACTGGCTCTCCTGGTGGCACTGGCTCTCTTGGCACTGGCTCTCCTGGCTGGCTGCTCCTCTTGGCACTGGCTCTCCTCTTGGCACTGGCTCTCCTCTTGGCACTGGCTCTCCTGGTGGCACTGGCTCTCCTGGTGGCACTGGCTCTCCTCTGGGGCACTGCTCTCTTGGCACTGGCTCTCCTCTTGGCAGGCTGCTCCTGGTGGCACTGGCTCTCCTGGTGGCACTGGCTGGTGGCACTGGCTCTCTGGGTGGCACTGGCTCGGCACTGGCTCTCCTGGTGGCACTGTTGCCGTGGGGTGCTGCTGCTGTGTCTGC